AATTGCAACATAGAGCTCAAAAAAATCAGTAATTTTCGAAAAAATTTTCATCATATCAACAAACGAAACGAATAAATAATTGATTTTTTTCCTTCAATCGATAATAATGATAGGAATTGAATAGTTCATCCGTTGAAGTTATCAATTCGTTTGACTAATTTCGACAAAAAATAATTAAACAAAATGGAAACAGGTTGGAAACGGATATGATCAATAGTAGCCAACCATCAATACCATTTTCATTCATTTCTCGTCTTTCTCCTCGCCTATCTCATCATTTCAAAAAATAATGCAATAAATTTTAATAATTTTTTTTTTTAAAATTTAAAACTGAAAAAAAAGAGAAGTGTGTGGGAGAAGTGAAGAAGAAAGATGAAACGACAAAAAAAAAGAAATGATGGGGAAAGAGGAAGTTAAATGACATAAACGCTATCGAAATTGAATTTTCTTCAATTTTTAATTGAGAAAGTTTCAAAAAAAAATCAGAATAAACTTGAATTACTTCTAATTCAAACTTGAATTATTTCTCGCACAAAATATTCCAATGTATATAAAAAGAAAAAAGAAAACGGAAGTACTTTCTAAATTCAAATTTCAAATTATTTGCAACTTTAAATGACTACTTATATGTAAATAAAATTTTTTAGATAAGTATTGCCGAATTGCAAGGTGTGGTTCTTAATTAGACATTAGTGTGATTAATTAAAATTCAACAAAACAACCGTTTAAGTTAATAATTAGGATGAACACAAATGCTATGAACATATCTTTTGCTTACATAATTTCTTACAAGTAATAATAAATTCCGCTTATTAAAATGATCATTAATAACTGAAAGATTTATTGAAAGATTGATTTGTTTGTCAAATCACATACAATATTTTAACTGAAATAATTTCTTCAAATTTAAATTAAAAATCTTAGAATTAGAAAAAAATTATGATATTAAATATTACGTATATTTATTAATTGGCACCAGAAATCAAAAGAAGAATTAAACGAAAGAATAACACTATTATTATGAAGTAAAATTAGTGGAAGACTATAATTGGAATGGTTTTTGCTTTAACACAAAAGAAATTTAAAGTAGTATGGTCAGTGCAGAAGTTTTAATAAAATATAATAAGATGTTTTGATTTCACAATTTCATGTTTTTACATATTTTGAATTTTGAAGAAATACGTACACGTAGAACGATTAAATGTCCATTGTCTATAACAAGTTAGCGATAAGAAACAATAAATTGATGAATTTAAAATTTGAAAGCTATACTTGTTGAGAAGTGGCAAAACGAATGATGGTGAAAACCGGCCTTCGGGTTAGTAAATCTATGCCCTACGGCTAGTAAATGACCATCAAATTTTATCAGAAATTCTTTCTGTCCTTTTTTCTCTCCTCCGTTGCAACTGATTATTTCTTTATTCTTTATTCTCTATTCTTGATAATCATCATTGTGCTTAGTAAGATTATTATAGTTCGCTAGTATTTTATGCAATAGCTTTTATATTAAAAAGAATGATCCAATAATTAATAATAATCATAATAATAATAAATATGATAATAAAGATAATAACAATAATATATTGCTGTATTATTCAAAATTAGCTTAATTATAAAGCTATATAATGGAATCATTAATGCCATCATTGTGATAAATTCAAATTGTTTCGCTTACAACACACCATGTGTACAACCAGATTTTTCAAAACCAATTCAATTCCACTGTTGTTTTTGCAAATACTTTCAACCAATTATTACCTGTTGATAAAATTTATGAAGTTGAGATAAGTTACAAAACAAGCGAATGATAGAACAGTAATTCTTGATAAACTGTCTGCAATAACGAAATGATTGAAGTTTATTTCAATATATATGTTAAGTGAATTTGAATCAAATAATGCATATTTATTATACAAATAGTTTAAAAGCGAAATATGAAACTTTGCGTTAATTTATCATAAACATTGCAAAAAATGAAATTGTATATATATGTTTTTTTTGAAAATTACAAAAAAGCAAATAAATATTTCATTTCAAGTTTTAGATTATTTTCCAGGTGTTAAATTATGCGGAATTTCCCGGAAACAATTCTGATATATGCTAACAAATGCGGCAAAATCAAATTTTTGGATTGCTTCAAACATTTTTTGTTGATTGGTCATTTTTGAAAAGCGCATTTCAATTGCACGACTGCAACTATCCTTCATATCCATTTTTTCATCTTCTTTCTGTGGATTGATCGGTTTCTTTGGTGTTATCAAATGTTGAAATATACCAATTAATAGATGTCCCCAATTTCGTATCGAACAAAAAAGAGCTGCACCGGCGTCATCCTAAAATAGATAAGTTAATAATTACAGTAACTAATGGTAAAAAAGATGGAAATGAATTCGTTTATTTTTTCATTTCTACCTTTTTTACCATTAGTTTACTTGTATTTCTTGTGAGAATATATTTGTATTTTTTATTCACTAAAAATTAAGTAGTCAAATTATTTGAAAAAGTATGAAATAATTTAAAAGAAGTGAAACAAACTAACTCGTTTATTTCAAAAGTCATTGGTAAGTGAATAAAGATTAAAATGAGGAATATATAATTGTAGTTTGCATGAATGTTAAATTTCTTTCATCATTTAACTTTTCTTCAGTATCTATTTAAAAATTGAGGAAAGTATTCTATTCACTTGGAAAGATGGATGATCTTCATTGCGTACTTTAACAAGTAATGAAAAGAGCGGGGGAGAACGGATGAGACAAATAATAAATTTTACAGAGAAAGATCAGATTTCAATTGTTAAGATATGATAAGTGTGAAAAGAGAGCAATGAATCAACAAAATTTTTCTAGAAATTTAGCAATTTTACGAATATCTTTGCTTTGAAAGTGCAAGAAAGAAAAGAACGAAGAAAAATGTATAATGTAAACAAAGAAAGAGCAAAGATTGATAAGAATTCGAAACAACAATAGAAAAAAAGGATAAAGGAAGCAAAATAAAGTTAAAATTATAATTTAAAAAAAAAAACGAAGAAATGGAAAGAATAAACAAACCCAACATGCAGTCTCATTAGCAACAATGGATGACCAAAAATAATTAGGCTTATCCTTTACAGGATTGATCGATTGAATGTTAATTAAGTGAATTTGATCCTGTTTGATGAATTCAGTTGCTAAAATAAATAAATCATAAATTTAGTACTACCATTTATTAAAATTATATATGGTAAAATTTTTAGAAAAAAGACGTAAATTAGCTACAGTATTATGAGATGTGAGTACTATCAAGTTGGTATGAAATTCAATAAATTTTTTGTCTTCTGATTTTACCTTTTTTTTCTTTCATATCTTTTTCATTTATCATTTTTAATTAGTCATAAATTTACCGTTATCTGTGGTAGCAAATCCAACAATCCAACATTTTTTCTTTTTCAACTTCAATATGTCAATATCTATGACCGATGATTGTAGCAATGATGGTCGAACATTTAATTGAGCTACTCGTTTTGGTGCTGGTACCGGTGGGCAAAGCTGAAAATATAAATTTATCCACAATTGATCAAAAAATAAAATCTAGTAAAATTACATAGCAACAGTCAGCATACAGTAGAATACCGTATACAATATATACGTACGGTAGTTTATACAATGAAATGAATGATTACCGTGTACCTGATATCATGCTCCTATTTAGATCTTTTTAAAAAATAGGCTTACTAAAGCTTAACTATTGAAAATATTTTATGTAACTTATTCCACGATAAGTATTTTGGTTCCTTCTTTAGTTTAAGATAAAATAAGGTGAAATCATATACCAGAACTTTTTTCTCAATAATTTAACACTAAAACAAAGAATTAATAAGATTACTAAATTAATTAAATAATTGTTTCTTTTAGAATTGCAGTAGTTTTTTTTTTCGAATCACTTCCTCTTTCATCTTTAATTTCCTGAAAGAGAGAGGGACAGAGAAAGAAAAAAAGGGAAAGACAGGGAAGGACAAATATAAGAGAAGTGGTTTTTTTTTTAAAGTGTTAAAAAAGCATTTGTTGCAAAAAAAGATTTTTGTAAAATTCTTCGAAAATTTTTCCCAAAAAATTTTGCTATTTCACAAAAAAGGGTAATAATTCTGTTGACGAATATTACACTTCAAAAATTTCACATATTTGTCCCTTTTCTTTACGCACTCAATTTTTTGCTTTTCAGATAAAACGTAAATAATTTGCTCAACAATAACGTAATTAAGAAAGAAAATTTTTTTTTTGGAGAAGCTCGACAGGTGACAACAGGTTAATATTTTTTGAAACACACGCTGATAGTATCAACTGAATAGCTAATATATTTCCAGCAAAAGCGGTGATTAATGAAGAGAATTTATAAGTTATTGTCATGTTTTATAAATTGAAAGTTTACATATAATCAGTTCACACTTTCATTAATATGTCGTTGAATTTCAAAAAAAAAAGGAAAAAGAGTGTTAAAATTATTTATAAAATTTAGTAGGTAAAAAGATTTGAAATTAAAAATTGAATATATTGCAATATGTTAATAATAGAATTACTGTTGATACTGGTATTTCGGGAATTTTCAATATTCCCCAGGTTTGTCCGATTTCGACCACTTCAGCTGGTAATGTTTTAACTCGCTTCAATGATTGCACAGTAACTACGAATTCGGATAGCCTGAAATTCGAATTAGTTATTTTCCTTACAATTTTATATTTTTTCAATCGACTTCCGCCCGTCATTACTGATAAATTGAATGAAATTTAAAAGCCAAAACAAAAGAATCAATCATTTATTAAAAACCTCAAAATTTTTTCTTAATTAAATTTAAATTAAGCAATTTCCGGTCTCAAAATCGACAATCTTTGACTTGATAATCGAAATGGTTTTTATTCAAATACCTTTTTACTCCATTTTTCGCATTGAAATCGGAATTCATAATACTAATAGACTTTTTTTCCATTTCAAAATTTAATTTTTGAAGTAAAATAATAAAAGTGGAAAAATTTGCATGAATCCTACCTTCCACCGGTTGTTGCATTCAGTAAGCAATGTGATGAAGTTAGTACTAACTGAGTGGAAATGATCGTTCCGGTACAGCTGGTAACAATATTTGATGATTCCTCACGTGAAAATACCTAAATATTTTCATACTCCAGCCAGGATTAATTATAAGCATTTCTTTGTTTTATATTTAAAAATTTTTGAATGTTTTAAAATTTTGTCATATTGACTATTTTTTAAGCATCTTTTTGAGGAAAGAGAACGATACTTGCTTTATCATTTCATTCAATTCATACTTTTTCGATTTATCCAAATAATAACAATTCTTCTTTATTGGGATCATTTAAGGCTTTCAGATTTTCTTAATTTATTATTCAATTTAAAGAATTTTTAGCGATATAGTAGCATACATAACATTTTTTTTCTTCAATTTCTAATTTTTTAAAAAACTTGGAAATTCGTTCAAATTTTTAGAAATAATTTTAGAAATAAAATTATAAATAAAATTTTACTTTTACTTATTTCAAAAAAAAACAAGAAAAATGATACTTTAACAAGGAAAGCAAATCGATTCCAATCCTTTTCTTCACCACCAATAATTGCCATCGTATTAGGGATTTGTGATAATATGATGAATAATATGATAATATTGCATAAATTTAGGAAATGCATCATTAAATTTAGGTTTAGTTGGATGAGAAAATATAATAATACTAAGGAAGCAAACTTTGATGTAATAAAAGAGGCTTTAAAGAATAAACAAAATGGATGAAATTTAAAGATTTGCTTGGCTGAATCGGTTGCAAACGGTTTGTGTCAATTCATTTATCCTCCCGACACCTTCCATCATTCTGATTGCTTAAAATGATAAGAGTGAAACGAAGTGATAGGTAGCATATAAAAAGATATTTATCTTTAAATCGTTGTTAAATTATATTTCCCATTCGGCTAATTCTAATATTATGACATCATTTCGTGAAATTAATTTTTTTTCTTTTCATTGTAAAAAGGGGAAAGAGAAAGAAAGAAGAAATGATAATTGACAGGAAATACAAACTCATATGAAAATATAAATGCCAATGAGAAAAAATTTGAAATATCATAGATTTCTAAAAATTATTTCTAAAAAAATTTTTTTTTTTTTGAAAAGTTGAAAAGGAGCCAGTAAGAAAAAAAGAATTCTTTCTCTTTTTCCATTTTTCTTTAGAAAGCTTAGAAAGCATAACGTTGTTTTTTGTTATTCTTTAACTTACTTTATTCTTTGAAGAATAATCTGAATAAATACTGATACATAAATAAGTTTGTAATTTCAGAATTATGTCACTGAATATTCAATAAATAAATATAAATGCAGTTTTAAGTTTGAAAGATCAGTTTCTGGGTATCAAAATATCGTTGTCCTATCGCATTTCACATCATTTTATTATTTGCTTTTTAGCAATTTTTAGCATTTTATAATAAATATCAAAAATCATTTCTTCTCAATCATCTATGGTACAAGATAAATGTGTTTAAACGGAAGAAATGCTACTATCATTTAATATTATCTGTCTGAGAAAAAGCAAAATGGCGTAAAACCATCTAAAATAAAAGCAAACAAGTCTGGATCAGAACATTGTTGTGACATACAATTATCACTTCTTCAGAATATGATCAAAATTTAACATTCATTAGTATGGTGATTAAAATTGAAACGTGATGGAAGAAGATAAAACTTAACCGATTTGCGACATGGAAGACATTCATAATTTTGTATTATCATGAACAGAAACTGGAATTGAAATTTTCAATTCAGTGAACTATATTTTAATATCCAATGGACAAATTATTAGCTTGCTAATTTGATATTTTTGGTTAATTTTTTGAAAATTTCAACATTTTCATAGGTTTCTTCATTTAAAGAAAGCATCAAAGGTTTTCCGTATATTACAACAGTAGCCAGAGGAAACCATATTTTGAACATATCTGGCGACTGATTCGAATCCACCACATCTTCTGCTCGAAACCTTAGCGCTTTTTTGCCCAAGAGAAATCCGAAGTGTACTGATGTGAAAATCTTAAAATGTTGCATTTTCAACCAAATAAATTCTTATCATCTTTCAAGACAAGAATTCAACGTTTAGATGTGATCAAAAATATGTTAAGATAAAAAAAACCACTATCACTTCAAATTTCGACACCTAAGGACAATAAATGCCAATCAAAAAAGAGTAATAATATCTCTAATGGAAGGCTTTTTGGAAAAATTGAAGGAATTATAATTGCTAAGCAAAAAGTGAGTAGAAAAATTAGGTGATCTTCAGGAAACATTTTGAAAAATATACCTCCGTATATGGATTATAATATAAATCAACCACATATCGTTTCACCAGGATTTGATGCAATAAAATCGGTGTAAAGGCATAAAAAATGAAGAACGAATCCAGAACTATAAATCATAAACAAATAATAGAAACAAAAAAAATTTTGTCATAATGCATTTTTACTTTACAATGTTGTGTAAAGAAAGACAGAAAAGTATTAGTTTTTAGTCAGAAGCAATGTTAACAGTTTAAACCTGAAACTGCCAAATATTCAACAAATGAAGTGAATTACTTTCCAACTTTAACAAAATCTATTTCGAAAAAAGAATGCAAGTTGAGTTTTTTAATGTTGAAGTACAATGGGAGACTATTCTAGAAATTTTATGCAAACGGGAAGAATAAACATTTAGGTGGCAAAAAAAAGGCAGTTCAAATTACAAAAAACCTAACCAAGTCGTAAATCAAATAGATGAATGCGTTGAGTGTAAATTCAAATTTCATTTCCGAAGACTTATTGCAATAGAAATGCGGCTAGCTATCATTAAAATGCTGAGAAAGTTGTGAAAAAAAATGCAAATGTACCTGCGGTAATGGTTCCAGCTTCCGGTTTTCCAGTTGTAAGTTGCGATATTATTGGTATCATAGCAAGACTAACTGCTGAACTGGATAATGATAATATCTAAAATAAAAAAGGAAGCCAAAATATATAGCATATATAAAGCAATAAAAAATTAGGTAAAAAAACTTGACTAATTAAAGTAACATTTATAAAAAAGAGATTTAGAAAATACTAACTTTTGCAGCGAATACCATTTTCGGTGATAGCATTCCACCTTCTCGCACTGCTTTTAATGAAATATCCTTATCACTATTGGCTAGAATTGAATGACCTAAATCTGAAGTTGGAATATAACGCAGAGGTATGAATGCTCGTGATAGAGCTGTGGAACTTCGGCTAATATCAGCTGCTTCATCTATAATATTATAGTTATTCATTTGTTAATACTAGTATTGCTATGAATCCATTTTTGAATTAGCAACTATTCAATAGTAGTCGTGTGTCATTTCTTCCCGGATGCCTGTGACATTCAACAACAATATCTGAATATGTCTGATGAAATTCAATTCTTCTGCTCATGTGAATGTGTAAGCAGAAATTGAATTAAATCACATCAAAACAATACACAGAAAGCTCTTTTTACCAAACAATTCTACTCACACAATATTCCTACGGTACAACAATTTAAAAATAAATGAATTCAAATTTAGAAATATGAATTTAAACTTCACTTACCATGATTTGGACGCATTGTTGAGAATTTGCGCATGTAAGCAAGTCTAGAAAAGTTGCAAAAATTTCTAAAACATTCAATTCGACGAAAGGACATTTCGATTAGATTTCCACCGCAAAATACGAATAAATCCTCACACGGCACTTGCAAACCATCTCATACGCGCATATATTTAAAATAGAAATCTGAAATTTTGTTAAGTAATAGAAGTAACAATTTCCCCGACACATAACAGATGTACTAAAGGTAAAATATCAAATTGCAATATAAGACAGAACCAAGCAAAATTACGTTTCTTATATGAGTTTTCTTGTGCATTAATTAATAAATTTAAAACAATCAAATATTGTTCAAAATATAATTTGCATCATATTTGTTTACCTACTGTCTATTATTTAAGTTCATAAAAATGTCAAGGTTAATTCTTTTTTTATCAAAATAAATTTTCTAGAACATATCACACAATGTGCCCTTTTGCATGCTACAGAATTATTTGTGGATTGATTACGCGTTTTCTATTTTTCTAAGATTGAAAAAGCAAAATCAAAGAGTAGAAATTCAAGCAAAATTTAATTTTTTTTAAAATGGTGTTATCATGATTTTGAAATTGTCAAATACATTCTTTTCCTACGAGTCAACAAGAAGTGATTTCCTGATTTATCTGTTTAAAGAGTGATAACACGTTATTAGTAAGTTAAACAAGAATTACACACAGATATAATTTAATTCGTATGAGTAAAATCATGCTGTGTATATACATCACATTTTCAGAAATGTACAAATCAAACAAGAACTTCGTACATAAATATATCACAGTTATCGTGAAGATTCTTTTGGACATACGTCACTCTTGCTTTTTTTTAAACCATACTTTATTTGATATTTCATGTTATTTTTCCTACGATTAATACATGATTACATGAGCTTTTTCTGAGAAGTATAATTATTAACTACAGAAAAATGTTCAGATTCGATAGCGAATGTAAATTAAAACAGCAAATGATGAAGCATTCAAAGTAGTGTAACGATCAACTACTTATATAAAATAGAAGTGAATTGCAATTCTCCCTCATAAATCGTAGACTCTATAAATTCACTGCATTTTTTTCATTGTATCACTTCGCCGAATTTTTTCTGTCATAATCACCTTCTTTGCCTAAAATTTTTTGACTAAAGGCTTCGAAGCTCCAGCAAAATGAAATCACTTGAGGTTTAATTTGAAAATTTCTAACAATTCCGCATATCCAAAAGTCTTGAATAAGATTATAAATTCGTGAACCTTTATTGGTTTCTCTCCCAAATCATTCATTCCTTTTATTATAAAATAGAGATCAGCAAAGAAAACAACAGTGCCAATTGCTAAACCAAGAGCTATTCGAAACGCCACATTCATATGCAAATCCGGATAAGCGTAGGCAACTCCTGAAATACCAAAATTTTTGATATCAATAAAGAAAATTGAAATTTTTACAGCAAAGACGGAAATACTAAAAAAAAGTTTAAAAATACACAATTCATGTTTAAAACAAAAAATTGAGGCAATGAATCTTGATAAATTACTTAAAAGTAATCCGATATATATTTCAAATATTTTCAGGAAAACATTTACCAAAATATCCAAACGAAAATCCACCAGCTACTGTAAGAAGTGCATTTAATATTACCATCAATTGCCTATTCACTGCTTTCATTTCCTGCAATACAAAAATACCTCTTTTTACCACTTTTCACAAAAGGACTGAGATTCAGGTAATGTATTAATTGTAACATTATACTATAACTTTACTGCTCTTTTTATTAGCGTGCAATATCTCAAAATACAGTACAGAAAAAACTGCAAACTGCTTGTCAGTCACAAAGTATAAATTTAAAAAAAAGATTTAGAAAAGTTTGTACTTACAGTTTCGGCAAATAAAAATTAATGTCATTTAAAAGGGGAATTCTAACTGAAAATAATAAATCCATACTTCACCGAATCCATGCAATAAGTTTTCACGCCCATAAATTTGATTAGGATCAACCGATCGTGTCATCTTACGATATTCACGATCTTCCTGAAACAAACCTCCACTTCTGGCAAATGATAAACAAGATTAGAAACTAAAAATTGTGAACGTAAATATGAAGCGGTTCATTTTTAAACAAATTTTGAAGTAAAAAAAGCTAACAAGTAGCAATCAATGACTAATACCATGCTGGATTCTTTTTCATGAAGACATAGAAATTTTTAAAAGTTTTCAAAAAAAGGAAGCAACAAATTAGAAACAATTTTTAAATACCTGCTCTTGTCTCAGTCTTTCGAGTCTAGCTTCATATTCAGGATTAACTTTCTTCTCAATTACTGGAACATGAGGCTTTATTCTCTCAATAAACTTATAAATAGGGAATTTCTTGGAAAGACGATTCAGAATGGACATCATTTCATCATATTCAAATATCATCATTTCCTCCTACAATAATAACAAAAACTGTTAATAACAAAAGCAAACTTTCAAGCTTTCTATCACTTTGTTTTTTCCAAGATAAAACTCAAGTACAGCTGTTCTTTCATCAGAATATTCATTATTTCTAAAATCAGACGATTCTTGATGAGCCTTGCAACTTCGCAAAATTGTCGACCTCAATACTGGATTTGTTAGTAGCCTTAAATTTTTACCTTCACTAATCGATTATTTTGTGCTTTCATACTCTCATCACCCAATTCATTCAACCAATCCTGTAATAACTCAGCACCTTCCTTCGATACCTCCCACATCATTAAGGAATAACCTGAAAGGATTGTCAATTCTGAATGTGCCAAACGATAGCAAAAGGAACTGAGCACCAGTGACAATACCAATTGGTCAACTGGTCTTTCCTCAATACGTCCAGAATATAACTTAACTTTCACTAATCATAAAGCAATCCATTTATTACTTCAATGAAACCCTTAGAGTAGACTTAAATAATGATTATTTCATGTATTGGTTCTTGATTCTGCGGACAAATATAGAGATAAATATCAAATTTGTACCCTTTAAAAGAAGTATCAAAGAAACACCATGTGAAAAATGCGAATATCTGAAGGTGACGATTATTATTTCGCAAATAAACCTTATCCACACAAGCATTACTCATCGAGCCAGGATGCATAATTTCAATATTATTCCTTACTATAAAATTTTCTTGCGTTCAAAACGAATTGTTTGGGAAATATGAAACTCTCTAACCTTTGGCACAATTATAATCCGGTAGTGTTTAGAAAAACTCTTGTTCTGTAAACATGTAAAAATTGATAAGAATTTCCGAAACGTAGCTTTATGCCGTAACAACTCTTAGTGAAAAAGTACTTTAATATTTGAAAGAAAAAACAAACAAACGAACAATGTAACAGCAGAATGACAGAGCCCGAGGCAATTAATTTTCGTTGATAAATACGAAAAATTAAATTTAATAAATTCTGAGAAATATTTTAAGAACGACATCTATAAAATCATGAAGCATTACTAGCTCATTCAAATTTGCACACAAACGTTGAATACAAATGATAACACTGCTAATGCTGTTACAACAGTGTTTTTGATTTGGAAAATCCATATATCAATGTCCTATATCGCATGAGATACTACATCCAGAAGATTTAAATGGCTACGACACAAAAGAAAAACAGAAAAAATTTAATTAGATGAAGTAAGAAATATTGCAAGAGAAAATATATAGATTAATTTAAGACACAATTCACTGATACCAGAACAAATCAGTTACACTACAATGATGAATATACAAACCAATAGAGAAAATAGTCAATATAAAGCAAAGTGATAGTAATCCGTAAAAAACCAAGAAATCAAAGATGTCATTTCCTCCTCCATTCCAGAGAACAGCCATAGCCTTATCATTGTGCTTCACCAAATGAATGCAATTTTTTTTTTTTTAATTTCAAAATTTTTTCCGTTCCAAGATAAGCGAAAAACATCCGTGTTTAAAAATTGGAAAATTTTTCACTTTCCATGTGAGTGAAAATATTTTATTTTCACAGTTAAAAAAATTTTAGTATTATGCTTGCGAACAGAAAGAGAAATTTAACAATAAAGAATATATATATACATACAGCATGTCAAATAATATTGTACTTTCTCAGAAGCATTAAAAAATTTAAAAGTTAAGAGTTTCAAGAAAAGCACTTCACTTTTCATCAACACACTTCGATGAGAGTTGGAGATTCGTTGATCTGCACATAATTTAAATGGAGTCGCTGAGTTATTTTGTGTCAATCAATTGTTCAATATATTCTACTTTCTTTTTCTCCCCCAAGTAGTACATGCACAAAAAGCATACAATTCTAAAAATTTTGTCCAGATTTCGAAATATAAAAAGTAAAAAAAGTTGGGAATGATCACAGGAGATGACTTTAATGCCGTTATACACATATCATGATGAATTTAACGAGATCTCCAACAAGTAGATAGTCAAAATAAATGAAGCCCAGGTTAAAAGTTTGAGAAATGTGTAAATAGATTCCATTGTAACTCAGCAAAAATTTACAAAAGGCAGAAAGTCGAAAAAAATTCTATTTTACTTAAAAATAAAAAATACAATTTTAAGTTATCCTAAAGGCAGTGCACAAACCGAACAAATAATGGGTCTAAATATTCGGTAAAAAGGACAAAGACAACAAAGCTGCCATAAACTTTAGGTAGCATGGTAATAATCTGTAGTGAATTACAATATTATATTTAAAGAACAACTCTGTTTTCAGTGCACTTGTGCTTTAACTTGATTAATACGAAATAGCACCACTACAAAATTTATAAGCATTTTTAAGCAACTATAAAAAAAATTTTCTTCATTTTTGCATCTTCCTAATAATTCTCTAGTTTGCTTTTCAGCATATTTACGCTGTAAGAAATTGTATAGAAAAATCCCAGTTGTGTTACTTTTCACGTGCTTTTTGGAATGTCCTGAAAGTTTGGGCCTAATTTTTCCTCTTTATTATTCCCCAAAACCAGTGTATTTCTAAGTGACGCTTCTAAAATAAAATTTAAAAAGAAAAAGTTCTTTTCAACAAACTATTCAATAATCAACGAATACTGCAAAATACCGATGCTCAAGAATCCATCGATATTTGAACATATGGACGCTTCATCATTCGATTTCTGGGAGGTGTATCGTTTTGTGCTTCATTTGCAGCATTCAATGATATCGAAGGTGAAACAGAATTTCTGAATGCATTACAACGAACGTACAACAACATATACGCCTGTATATTGTGCAGTTCAGATAGAGAAACTCGGTGACGCTGGAAGAGTGTTCAATTATTATTAAAAATAATGTTACGATAAACAAAGAAAAAAATATATAGGGAATGATTCCCCCTTTAATAATTTTCCACTGCAAAATGCATAACTGAAGGATAGTATTACAATCTGTAAACTGAATAAATACATCAATGGGAACGCAAGTCTAACTAGATTATATTCTAACAAAGAACTTTTGCATTTATTATTCTAGCATGAAATATATATGACATTGTTGAAACACTAGTAATCAAATCATTAAAAAGATTTTGCCTTCTCTTTCTGAAAACTCATATGCAACACATTCAATTACTGAATCATCCTTCTCAGATTCCTATCTAAACCTATTAAATAAAACACTTCAATAAGAGATTTAAAAAAGCAACCCATTAAAAAAACATTCGTATCCCCTCAATTACCAGCAACTAACCCTACAAACCTTCTTTTTTTTTTACACTGGGTCTCCATTACTCGAGACTAACTTCCTTCTCATTCTAATCAAGCTTCATATTTCATCAGCAGACAAGTTAATTTCTTATATCACGAAATAAATTTTTATGGAAAGTCAATTACATATAAACAATGACAAAAAATGATGAAGTACATTATATACCTGTTCATCATCAAACAAATAATAGCTTCTACCATCAAATCCTCGTACGACAGCAATATAATGCCCATGTTCCACTGCATTACCCATATGTTGAACAATACCAGTAAGTTCATAAAAATGCGCTTCCGCTGCACGATGAACATATCGTTCGAGATTCATCCTCAACTAAAAATTTAGAGTTAGTTTAGTTTTTGCAAAAAAATTATAGGATAAATTTATACAGGTTCGTAAAGTTAATTACATGATGCAACGAAAAGAGACAAATCCTGCCAAAATATGCCTTGGCGATCTTAAATCTTCGACTAAACGGATAAGTAGATTTAAAACAAAACAGGAATTATAATGCGTAACTCAAAGGTACACTATAGACTAATGACCGACACCTTTGTGATGTAATACAAGCTTTTTCGAAACAACATACATTGAAATTAACATGGACGCCTATCTTTCCACCAAACGAATTGAACCGTTTTATTTGGATAAGCAAAAGATTAGGTGCACGCAAAATACGTGAACTCCGTTGGATTTGCGTTGACCTCTTACACCTGCAGACATTTTAACTATAGAATATCTCTTAATTACAAAATATCTACTCCTCGCCACCTCAACCATTGCCATCCCAACTATTCCATCACATATAGAATTCCTCACCATACCCACTGAAATCCAAACCCTATTTTCTGATTTAAACGAAATCTTTATATCTTTCTCATTTGTTTTAACTTAACACTGCTTCATCATTCGACAAGGTTATATTCCAAGTGATTCCAAATCTTGACTTAAAAAAAAGATACTTATTGCAATTAAAACTGGTCAAGACTTCGTTGCCAAAATAATCGTCGAGTAAATCCTCCAAGGTTATCCGCCTATCATAACTTGGTTTCTTTATGCCAAGATTAAGCTCCCGAAACCGTTCGTAATTTATTAGTATTGCTGAGCAAGTTGAACACTGAACTTGATTTCGTAATGTTCCAGCAAAAAGTTGTTCCACTGGTGTCGGAAAGCGCGGTCCACTACAATAATAAAAAACATGTAAAATGAAAGAAATCACAAAAATGTGATTTCGGATGACGTTAAAGCTTATCACTAAAAATACTTGAATTGTTTTTTTTTTACATTTTGTACATATTCACGCAAATCAACAGTACTTTAATGGATTATTACGATCCGAAGATGTTCCATTCTGTGCTTCGGAATCAAGAGCATCCAATATGTGGTTCAAAGCTTCATGAGCATCTTCCTGTGCACCAAATAGATGAGATGGGAATGCTTCTGAAAAAATTTAGGCAACTTGTAAAAAAGTAAAGAAACACACTTTCGATATTTTTAAAATTTGCAATTCAAGGATAAAGCAAACAAAACAAAATCCTACTTTCCAAAATAAAACTAATCCAAGAAGGTTTGAACGGCTGTCTGCTCGACATTGAATACCTTATAAATCTCGCAAGACCACAAGCGACGCAATCTTTCACGCCTGAAATTTGAATTTGGCGCAGAAATCAACGGATCAAACAAAACATGAAGCCTACCAGTGAAATAAAAATAAAATCGATTACATGAAAATAAAGGGAGATGCTCGCCAAGATATCGTGCAAACGGAATACAATGCAAAATAATTTGAAGGACGGCATTTAAAAAGCAATCGTTGGAATAATTACACAGGCCGACACCGATATTACGACCATCCGGATTCTGAAAATAAAAAACAAAAGTTTGCATAAAATTTAGCTCGTAATTTCGCATAAAATTTAAAACCTAAACGCATTTCAATACAATAAAATCATTCCACAATAACTAGATAGACAATATTTCCCGTATTGTCTTGAAAACATATTATCAAGACGAACCAGAACACGGCTGCCTTCCCATGTCGAATAAAATACTATACGATTATTTATAGGGAACCTAGTTTCCAGTTCGTTATTTTCGGACAGCAATCGTTTCCCCTCAGCTTTACCATTCAGAGCACGATTACCCTGAAAACGTAATTAGAATGTCGCAATTATTTATTCAAAAAGAAGCTCTTCGATAACAAAGATATGCCGATTATTATACCTAAAGCCAAAATTCAAATCCCGGAAACGAGAATAACCTTTTCCCAACAACAATCGTGTTCATAGTTATTCCTCCACATTCCGTAGCAAATTATATAATATAGAATAAAACATAAAAATAAGATAAGCTAAAAAGAAGAAAAGAAAATGGTATAAGCTAGTCAGGAAAATCAAAAAATGACATCTAAAAATTATTACGGTAAAAGCTGACCTGAGATTCTAATTTCCTCGCTGATGTATGACCAGTATTTATGTGCATGCGCCGTTTTACTGCACCATTTAGCACGGACTTCGATCCTGGTGTAAAACCTTTCGACGTTGACGGCCTGCTATCATCATAACCATTATGATTTGTGAAATCCAAGTGAGAATTAATGCGAACTGGAGAAGAACTGAAATTTTAAACATAATCAACTGAACAATTTGTGTTTCATTTTTTCTTGGAAAGAAACTGAAGATTTCTAAACGTTATCTCAAGAAAAAAAAAATACGCTGAAGTATGAGGCAAATAACACGGTGAGTTGAAAATATTAATAGAGCAATTTCAATTATCACAATGACTAATTAAGGAAATATAATTGGCAAATATTATAAAATCAATGTTTTAAAATTGAAAAATCTTACTTAAGCCGTCTAACATTGTTTGTGCCATGAAGCAGATCTCGAGCAAAATATTTTGAAAGTTTTGTTGTTCCATCACTGACTTGAGTAGAATGTGCATTATTCAGCTGTTTTCCAGTACCTTTGTGTTGAGCGTCCGTAAGAGCATGACTTTTTGATGGATTGGTTGAATTAACAGCTGCTGATAATGTACTGACGATGCTGCTCGCACTCGAACTACGCGTTGACGATGTAGATGACGAACTGGCTTTTAATCGTTTTGCACTGAAATATATTCAGTTTGTTACATAAGCTCTATGTCTTTTTTACCAATAATATTGTAGCAATGTACTATCTACAATGTAGATACAGCGGAAAACTTCCTCATTTAAAAGTAATTCCAAGAATGTGATTTTAAACCTTAAATTATAACATGTCTGGTATAAAATGTCATCGACATGTCCACGAAATCAGAAATGAAATTTTTCCAAAATTTTATTTCAGCAACAAAATTAAAGAAATCGTTTTACTGTAATGACCGAAAATCACTACGCCATTTGCTATGATGGTGAATAATAAAATTGTCATAAATATTATAATTACGAAAATTCATACTAGAATGGCTTATTTCCCAGACAAAAGATTTGAAGTTTCTGATATATGACATAACCTATATGTAGAATTCAACAGCATTAAATTTGTGACACTCTTCAACCTTTTCCTTCCTTTTCAACCTCCGTTCTCTACAGCAAAAAAATTCATGATGTATTATAATCTGTGAATTAAGGGAATGACAAAAGAGGAACCTTCGAGGGGGAGGCGAAAGCGGTGATGAAGAACTGTCGCGATAATTCGTTTGAATCATACGTAATCCTGTGGAGTCATATGAAGATAGCGCATGATATGAAGTTGATCCTAAACATAATTTTCAATAACTTCAAAATACTTAATGTAGTTACTTCATCTAATTCAACGACCAATTCCATATTACATAATACGGATACGGAGTGCTGGCACTTAATCTACAAATTCTACTAATTAAATCTGGCTCCTTTTCAGTTTGTAACAACGCATATTGTAAATCCGTATTCTCTTTACGAACTTCCAGATATATGCTTTAGTCCCAATAAATCCATTATTTCTCTTAAAGTGATATGCTGATTTTTAAAACACAAAAGCAAATGTGATTTTTTATGAAATTCGAAACAAATCAGAATTACCACCGGAAACCACTTCGTATCCCGGCTCACGTTCAATCTTTTCGCATGTTCTTGATGTGCTCTGTCCGGAATTCGATACTGTTGAATTTAGCACAGTGCAATTTTTTGTAGTAGATCGCATCATTGATTGTTTTTCAAAATCAAGACTATGACTATAACAAGTTCTATTTAGTAAATTTGTTAGGATAAAGAGCAAGGAGAGAGAGAAAAAAACATAATGACACTTATATGCAAGGGACGGTTATTTTTAACTGAATACCTAACCTTTTTATGCAAAGAGAGAGAAACAGAAGCAAATGAAAAAGTAAAACAAAAGAATGCCAACGTAAAAGAAAAAAAATGAAATATTTCTTGAAGGTAGAAAAAAAAGAAGGATGTCCGAAATGCAAATGTTCGGACTTCTTTTTCTAATAACAGCTATGTTTACCAATTTAAAATAATCGCTAAAAATTAACTACTAAATCTTTATAAGTTTTCATTTATGACTAAAAAAGCATTAATAATAATTCAATCAGGATATCTCATCCACCACTATTCCTTTCGTGCTTTTTTCTAATTGCCGATCAAAGAGTCCCTTTCCTTACTTAACAAAGCCTTACATGATCATCACATCTGTTGTTACATGATCATCTTACATGATCTATCATTAATGCTCGTTTCCCTTGAAATCACGTAACTTCGGAACAGATTCCAAATGTTGACTTTTCTTTCCTCCCAGTTCTCTTACTCTTTTCCACTCATTCCTATTGAGACGAGCAAAACCACAAAGAATGAGCATTTTAATGAATGAAAATAATTACCTATTTCTCTTGAAACGTATTTTCTCTCTTTCTTTCTCTCTTGCTCTGTGAGCATTAAACATTTTCGTTTTATGTGACAGGATCTCCTTGCTCAAATGTAAGAATGTCTGTCATTCAAGTGTCCCTTTTCATCCCATATTCTCATCTTTTCAATAAATGAACATCGTGTAAAAGGAAATATTAAATCTATCAAAATCGACATTTTATTAAATTTTTTGAATTACAGTTTCCTCTTCCATCGGAATTATCCACCTGGAATATATTAAAAAATGGAATAATACCTCGATTTAGCAAATGGAATATATGCTTGAATCAATGCAATGGGATCAATTTGCGCCATGAAACGATAGAAAAGCCAACGACGATCGATGCCATACAGAAATCAATCACTTTAAGCACCCACCACAACACTATTGCATATACAGTTGCTGTCGTTTGTTTTTGTTACAGTACCTGTATCACTGATTAGGGTTGCTAGGAACAATTACTTGTACAATGAATTATACGACGTCAAACTGAAGTCCTTTAGAAATCAGATTATGACGCCACTTTTCTATGTATTCAATATTTTTGCCGTTGTCTAAAGCTACTGATGGAATCTTTCGCTATTTATGGCCAACATAACGATGGTATATTTCCTTATTTGTTCTAAATTTCAGAAATGCTTTAGCTAAATCACCGTTTTCCCAAAAGATATTGGTATGCCCTCCCTGCAGTGAAATCTCTGAAAGACGAAATTATTAACAGAGCGAGTAAAAGAATACGGAATTATCAGCCTATGTGACAATTAATTTCTGTTGAAATATATGTAAGCGTGAGAATCTTATTCGATGTTATAGCAAATAAAGATGATGTAAGCTTAGATTTTTGATGTTTACAACATACACGAACGAATAAGTCAGAAATAAAGGACTAATTGTTGTGCAGTAAAACTGGAGATATTATCCAACATCTCTAACTACCCTTTCAGTTAGCAATGCATGTATATGTCCAATAAAACTAAAAAATCACATAACACACGTGAATTAAAAAGATAAACATGCGCAAACAATCATCCGAATCCTTGTCGTTAACCGCCTAAATAAGAGAGGTCATCACAGGTTTTCGCTTCGAAACCCTTCTTACCACCTCGAAAAATGCTTACTATTTCAAACCAAAAAGCCATGTTAACTCTCATAATCAATGGGGTTATTACTTTATCTCCCTTCATACGCACCGGTTCCGTGCAATGTAACTCTGAAATTCACTCTACTTAACGCGTTATTGCGCTGCAACAGTAGTGCTTCGCAGGTCATCGTTGCTAATGCGAAGCTGGGCGACATGGTTGCGTTGCGACATGGTTGCGTTGCGGGTCGCGCTGCGCAACAGGACGGTGTGGCAGCGGGGGTTAGGTGTTGTTGTAATGAAGTGGAGTTAAATTAATGGTTTTGCGGGAGTGCACCATATGATGAGATTAGCAAATGCGGTGTATGCACGTTCACGTTTCCACAAAACCGAACAAAAATTTGCAATAATTTCTCTTTAATTGTCTTGAGCGGTTAATTTCACCGAATTTCTTCTAAAAATCCAATCAGAGGGAAAGTTATGCTGAAACGTGGAACACTGCAAAGCATTGTGACGGCAGCAGTCGTTCAGAAATTATCATAATGACACATGAAATGTGAGCATGAACATCGCGACGTCGATGCACGCGAGAGTTCGCTAAAAAATGGTGAGTACAAATCGATTGTGCAGCAAAGTGTTAATTAAAATTAAATTGAAATTTAAATTTTAAACAGCATTATACACCGTCTAATCGACAGATGCAGCGCACAGTTTCGAAAAGATTTAAGAAATTTTGATTTCTTGGGGAAATCTTCCAAAAAAACAATTTTGGAAGTATTTTATTTTAAAAGGATAATTAGAAAAGTTATTTCTTGGTGAAATAGTAATTTGGAAATAAATGGCTTCAATTATTAAGGTATTACAGAAAGTTGTAGAGAAGTTACCAGAAATCTCAATTTTTGACGGTAATGAAATATCAATTTAATATAATCAGAAGAATTAGGGAGATCAAATCATTTTCTTTTTGTAAGCGTTGAGATGAATATAAAAAGAGTGAAATATATGTATATGAATTTGCATTAAATTTATTAATTTTGTTGATTTGAGATCTATTAAAGGTAATATATCATCTCGAAGGAATGAAACGAATTGTATTTTCATATAATATTACTGTTTGGACCAGAAAGAGGAAGATAATATTGTTTAATGCTGACACGAATAACCGAAAAAAATAGTGTCTGAGTTTGTTAATAATTTTCTCAAATTTGACAAAAGTGAAAAAAAAAAGCAAAGAATGAGAACGAAAGCAATAAGGGCTGCAATATCTTAATAATGGAAGTTCTGTTGTAGAATTAAAATGTTTTTTTCGAGGTATTAATTTACCAAATCCGTGAAACGGCAAATAAAAGCGAATGTAAAAGATATCACGTTTGAACAAGGTACGAAATGACAGTCAATTACTGGACGCTTCTACTAAGTTACAGACATTTCGGGTTTTCGAATCTCTTCGGAGAAAAACGCCACCGTGCATGAATCCCGAACACTTTGCTCTACAAATGCTATCTAGATGAATTATTCTTTTTCCTTTCGAATTACCAGATTCAACCTGCTTCTTGAATATATTGAATAAGTCAAAGTTACCACGAAAAATAAGCTATGACGTAGAAGCCTTTTGCCTTTTCCTATCATTTGATTTATTTAATTATGAAGGATTGGTGATTTGTATTTTTTTAATTGCTGTGACAATGTCTTTGTACCAAATACACTATTTGCATAGTCATAACAGTGACAATGAAACAAGATGACAAATATTGACATGTTAAAACACGTTTCATTAAATAGAAAGCACGAAATTCTTATAGCAGAAAGTATCATATTGAACATGGTAACGTGAAGTGAGTCAGAAATATCCGTTTTTTCGTCATATTGGAAATATATAAATTTTGCTTGCATTCCACGGCCGAGCATTTTTAATGCTCAAATAAAAATATGAGCTTGATCTTTGATTTTCTAATTGTAAACTACCATTTCATGCTTCAGCAAAAGAACAAAAAAAAAAATGAATTGTGGAAAAAGATCAGGAACAATTCGTTCTGCATATATTAACTCTAAGAAGTATGCTCAGCAATCAATGAGATGCGCTGAGAACTGCCAGAAACAATCTAATCTTTTCCAAATGCTTCGAAAGCTAAACGATTGTAATTTTGAAATTCCGTTTTACTACTCTCATTTTACAACACTTTTTTTTATCGGCCTCTATTTCAATCATCTCTGCATCTTTTCACAAAGGAAATGCTTCCAAAATCGGCGTGACCAGAAGTATTTACTAAGAGTTCGGCAAAAAACGAAATATGAGTTTCTAAGTAACAATAATGTTTTCATATTGGCAAAAATATCCTGGATCTTATTCGTATTTAATTAGAATAATTTGTGTTTAGTTTAGTTAGAATAATTAAAATGCGTAACCAAAATTACTGTTGCTTTGTCACCAGCCTAATACATCGTAAAAAGATGAAGTTGAAGAAAGTAAGAAGTACCTTTTGTAAAATTTTTTGTAAAGCCTTTTGTAAAATTACAAAAATTTTGAAAATGAAAGGAAGATACAACGGGTCTAAAGAATTCAGCGAATTATCACCCTTATGGAAGCATATTTTCTCTAGTTCCTATTGTAATAGCGTTAGAGTCTGAGAGTTAATTGCAATTTCTCCTTTTTCAATGTATTGAATTGAATTTTTCATAACCTGAAACGATATGAATTTAAAGTGTTAACATTTCATGCACAACCAATCTGATGATATACTAAATCAAGCAGCAGACTATAACCAAAACATCTAACCACCAAACTGAAATAAATGTATCAAAATAAATCTACTGGAACTTATTAATCGACACAGTTATCCATAACCAATAATTTAATAAATTTTTACAGTTCGAATTTTTATCCACAACTATTATTAGTTATCCTTCGGTAGACCAAGTCTTTAATGCTAAAATTCATGAAAGTATATAAATAGATAACCTGATCTAATCGATATATATAATTGACCATCACACCATAACTGCTTTCCATTCCTCTTCTTGTTGTATCAGCCTTCCAATTTACGGCATAAATTTCCGCGCCATTTCGTAAATGAAAATTTTCTAAAATAAATATAGAATTTCCGTCAAATTTAAAAATCTATATGATTTGAAATTTTAGTTCAATTTAAATTAAAACGATTTTTAAATAATTTAAATAAGTTAAAATCTCTAAAGAAATTTATTTCCAAAAAAGAAAAAAACTTTCTAGGGACAAAAATGATATACTAATTGATAAATTAAATCAGTACGTTGTTAACTTGGAAAAACTCAATGATAAAGTGAAAGAAGCATATTCATGAAATTAATATAGGAAAGTGTAGACGGTTATTCAGCTTAGCATGCAATAAAAATAACTTTCGTTAAATAGAAAAGAAAGAACTACAAACCGACGGGATCAAAAACACGTCCTGTACCAGAATGTTTTATTTCCAACAAATATCGAACCGCTAAATGCAAAAGAATCTCGAAAATTTCTTCATGTCTATAAATAATTTTGAAGATTTGGTAAAAAGAAAGCAAATAACATTAGAAAGAATATCATTCCTGGATGCAATAAGAGAAAAGTTAAGATATACCAAAAACAAATTTTTCGTATTCACCTGCTCAGAGCTCAATTTCTTCCATTCAAAACATTTTTACTAGGCGCAAACAACGCCATTACAATGAGTAATCCTCCAAATTCTTTTTTTGAAAGATTCATTTTTATTTCAAAATTCAGCTTACTTATTTACATCAATTTTATTCAAATGATCCAATAAGAACAATCGTACGAGCTCGATTATTTTGATATCGCCTTTAAAGAATTCATTTTTTTCACACATCGTCAACAACCTTTCGTCAATTATATCGCCTGAAATATCTATAAGATAATAAAGGGGAAAATGATAATTAATGACTGTTATCTCACAGATTCAATTAGTTTCATGCACTCTCAATTTTTTAATTCGATTCCGCTACACGTTCGCGACACACTATACGACATAATACCAAGGCAGAGAATTTAATACCGCGTGCCTACCACCATTAATTCAGCAATCCAATTTTATCGAAGTATTCAAACCAGTGTGAATGAAAGCACCAACACTTCTCGACATTCATCATAGCTAAATTAATTGCTATAAGCAAAGCCATCGTTTGACTTTATCCACGTTTGAAATCAACCGCGCTTTGAGAATTACCTTTGCTTTTTGTTTTCAATTTCACAACAAAGACGATGACAAACAGCAGAACCCATAAACAATTCAAACATTTTACCAGATGGTGCCACACATTTAAGGGACCGTAAAAGCCAGGTACGAAAATGAGGCATAGGTGATAAGGTCGCAAATACACGTATATGCGGATTGGTGTTTGAAATTTCAGCAATTACCCGTTTGATCAACATATTACCCAAATCGATACCACGCAACCCTGCAATTATTATAGATGATTTGAAGTGAACCAGCAATATAAAGTGTACCCATTTTTTATAGCATACTTCAATCAGAATACGATCGTGTCCTGAGATCCCAGACATCTACTTAGGATGAACTGAAATTTTGAGATAAAATTAAATTCGAATTCACTCCTAGCTAGCCAGTACAGAGAAAATATCCATCAATACATTATCATAAAGTTGTAGTGTTTGTTTCCAAAGATATATCAGGAAGAGGATAACTAGTAAGATGAAAAATTTTTTCCATTCTAATTCAAAAGTTGACAATCTGAAAATGATATACTGACAGCATGACCTGCTTGTGTTGATGATATCGAATAAAACATAGCTGTATCACTTGCGCTTTCATCTTCACATATATCGGCGTCATTCATTATATTCTGAAAATTAACGGAGCTACAATTACTGTGTTTATGAATAAGTGAATTAATTATGAATATATATTTACTTTTAATGAAGTTATATATTGTGTGGGCTACGCAATCAATAATTTCATCATCAGGTATCACCATAAAAGAAAAAAGAAACGGTTTCACAATATAAAGACTGTTAAGAAATTGACACGAGAATCCCAAGAAAGACTATCCTCCGACATGTAGTCGTACCCATCGTCATCGGTACAGGATGATCATGAAATGAAATCCTGAAGATTTGATAATTTGCCCAATTGGTTAACGACGAAACATAGCAGATTTTACTAGGAGAATTGAACTTGAAAACTACAGTTAGTAAAAAATCCAACCAACTTCAAGACTTCTGGCAATTTTTTTCATAAGTGCAGCATAAACAACCACCAATGGTTCACGATTCATAGCTTCATGCATAAACACAAAGCAACGTCGATTAGGGCCAAGACGACGTTTCATATCTATCAAACCGGATATCGGATGAACAGCTTCATATTTCATAACCTAAAAGAAAGGAAATCAACAAATAAATGTATAGCTAAAACTATCATAAAATATTATCTGCCATTGTACTTTGTGAAGATTTTAAAACCAAATTTAAAAATGTATTTACAATATAAAGTCTAATCGCTCATTAATTCCGATAGGTCGGAAATTTTCCATAACAAATCCTAAAAACCAAAAATCAAATTATGCTAACTTTGTCAAGGATATCACCAGGTGATTCAATTGTCAATTGCTGCAAGCGTAAATTGCTTTGACAAAACCAAAGAGTCAATAATTCACGAAGACAACTTTCGATGGGTCGTAACGCTGCACTTTCAGTTCGCGTCAAATTCGAAGAACGAAGCATTTCCTGTAATTCAGAAATAAAACAATCAACAGCATGCATACTCTCCTTATGATAAAGTTTTTCTTTTTTGTTAGTGGTACAATTTGTATCTTCAAGAAATAAAATTTTGCGAAATTTTTCTAGTGAAAAAAATATAATAATTACTGTACGCACTAAAGCATCCGCACGGACAAAACATATTTTTTTCACACCGTCTTTCACATTACCAATGGATTGGAAAAGTCGAAAATAATGTGGACGTGCTGCTGAAGCAACATTCATAAATGCTTGTTCATTCTGAAAACAAACAGGATTTAATTCTTTTGATTAAATCCATCGCTTTTTAACAGCAAAACTTAAAGGGAAGAAAGAAATAATAAAATTCCAAAAATGTACGTCTTTCTAACTAAATATGCGAATATAAATTAGATATTTCAAACTCTATACTGCACTCATGTGTGTCACTTATTTTTTATTTTAGTCGTTTGACCATGGATTTTTCTTTGATTGTACATGTATAATACATTGAACTAAGGAGAAAAAATTGAAAACTTTATGGTAGAGTTCGATGGATCGTTTCAGCACTGCATGATCTACGCCAAAATTCTGCGAAAGTTCGATCAAAATAGAACGCCGGTGCAATATTGATGATGCAAAATAATTTTCAATTAGTTTTTCGCCGGCAACCTAGAAAATCTAAATATCGAGCTTATTGTGATCTCACTGCACTGAATAATTAACTCTTAAGTAATTGGAAAGAGAAATTGAAAAAATTACGGTTTCTAAATTTTAGACCTATATTACGATCTATTCTTGAGAAATAAGATTTACACGCCATTGGTCAGATGATGAATGAGACGTAAGATTGTTACATATATCTCGGACGATTGTTGAATTAGCTCGATGCCCTCTGAATGCTACCCGATTATAAGCGAAAGTAAGTGTAAACAATTTTTTTATAAGAGAATTCCTTTGCTTCATCAAAAATAATAAATTA